GTTAACCATACACTCCATCAACAAAATAATTTTTTCAAGTGCCACGTCATTTTTAACTTATACCCTTGCTTTGATGTGTCGGTTAACCACACATGCTTCATCAACAAAATATAAAGAAAATGTGTGTTTTCATAGGTAGCATATGAATCACGTTTTTAATAAATCGGGATTTTGATTTAATAATATTTCATTACTTTTAATAGTTTAGTTAATACTTATTAACTTTAAACACTTGTCGTATCAAACCCTTTCTATAACTCCAATCTCAAAATGCAAAGAGGCGGTGAGGGTGATAAGCCCAAGGGTTTTTAAAAAACCGACCTCATTCGGAATTGAATAGACCTTCTTAAACATCGTTTATAATATTAGATTGCATGAGCCTAGTCATGATTTGATGATAACGTTTATGCTAAACATGTGAGAGCACATATTTGTAATAATTTCTTATACATATAATAATCCTATTATAATATGTAGGTATATTCAAACATATTAAATTTGATCTTTATCCTTTTAAATATTAAAGTTTAATTCTCTAATTTAAATAATATTTATATTTTTAATTAAATCTTTTTAAATTTTTATTAAACAATATTTAAAAAATTTAATTAATCATTTAAATATTCAAATCTAAATTCTATAATTAAATAATATTTAAAATTAAATATTTATATTTAAATTCTAAGTTAAACAACATTAAAAAAAAGTTAATTAAATATCCAAATTTAAATTCTTATTTAAATAATATTTAGAACAATCTTTGATTGGATATTTAGATTTAAAAATTTTAAATAATATTTAGATTTATTCGTTTAATTATTCAGATTAAAATCCTTTTAAATAATATTTAAAACAAGAGGCTTTATCCACATAATTCAAAACACAACAAAAATCTGGAAATATGAAAAACGTCGAGTCGCGCTGTGAACTTCGACTATCAGATTTCGATTTTTAAGCAATACTTATAATTAAAACCTATAGGCTCTGATACCACTGTTGGGTTTTCTATGCATCTGTACACATGATCAAAACTAAACAAAATACACATGCGTACATGCACCTTATGATCTAGGTTTTACTAATTATAACAACCTAATTTAAAACTACAAATCTACTAAAGAAAGATGGAATACTAACCTCTTGTGTAGCTCAATCTTGACCTTCTTGAACCTTCCTGATCCCTTGTTAATCCAACCATGTTGCTTGGATGTGAGAACCCAATGTAGAATCCTTCTAATGGAATCACACCCAAGACTCCAAATAGAGAACCAAAAGAAAACTTGGAATGGTCAAATTTCTACAAACCCTAGAAAGGGTTAAGAAATTCCTCCCACAGAGAGAAATGGAATATGTTGGTGAAAATTCAAGCCAATGTACAATGAAGAATGAAACCCTTATCACCCTATTTATAGCCTTTAAGCCCTTTCCATGTTTCATCACTCATCCCATGTGGGATGGAGATACAATTTGAAAATCACCTCTCATCCTATGTGGGATAGAGATTTCAAAATTCCCTTACCCCCTAAGGGTTCTAGAATATTTCCAATTAGTTAATCTTTTAACTATTTAATATTCAACCACTTGAATTAATTAATTCTCAATTAATTCCAAAATAGTTTCTGATTATTTTATTAAACATATTAAATTAATAAACTTATTTTCTCCTTGATTTTTTTAATTTCTTATGCGTGTCATGAGGGCAACCCAAAAGGACTATGTTATTATCTTAGAAATATTACCAATAGGTAATGACAGTGGACATTATTTTCTAACAATGATACTTTATATAGGGATGTTAAAAAGTCTAATGGGACTCCGATCCCGTATGAGGGTATTTGTTTAAAAAAATCGGGGGTGGGGGGAAGGTTAACCCCCATTTCAGTTTCAGGGGCGGGGGCGAGGGTGGGCAGTCCCGTCCCGAACCCGTCACAGAGGCCCAATTAATATATTATCTATATCCATATATGTTAATCATATAAATATAATAAATAATAACTTGATTTTGAGCAGCCAAAATTCAACAAAAAAATCATGTTTTTAAGTTGTTAGCATAACGTTTTTGAGATGTCATAACATAATTGCTTTTAACATGTAAAATTATGCCACAAATAACTATTTTTTGCCCAAAAAATAGTTTCTTTTAGCCCAAAAAATAGCTTATTTTAGCAACAAAAAAAAAAGGTGCCCAAAATCTATCGGGGGCAGGGGAACGGTGACGTGGGTGGCGTTATCCAGGAATTCGGGGGGTGGGGGCGGGGGATGCAACCCCCGTCCCGTTTGGTCCCATTGACATCCCTAGTCTTGTAGCCTTAGAATTTGCTTGCTATGTGTTATCTGAAGTTCATGCTAAAGGAATTGTTATTATTATGCCTCATTTATTTATCTTATTCTAGATAGACTTCTTATCCGATAGGTTAGGCTAGTTTGTTATTTTCTTGTGACTATTTATCCAACTATTCTGATGTAATCAGGGATGATTCAATCAATGAAACTAGAACTGATTCTCAGTATAATCTAATTTCATATGGTATCAAAGCATAAGATCCATACATAACCGGACTTCCAATGGCAGGAGATAAGCCGGAATCGTCTGGTGATGACAAGAAAAACGAAATAGATACAAGCTCTCCATACTATATTCATCCATCGGATTACCCTAAGCAGATGCAGGTAAACGATGTGTTGAACGATAGTAATTACGGAGAATGGAAGCAAGAGATGATGAATTTCTTGCTGGCAAAGAACAAGATGGGGTTTGTGGATGGCACAATCGAGAAACCAGACACAAAGTCTCCTTTGAACTTGGCTTGGACACGAGCCGATGCGATGATAAAGGGGTGGATAACGACGACTATGGAAAGAGAGATACGCACCAGCGTCAGATATGCTAACACGTCATATGAGATTTGGCGTGATCTAGAAAAACGGTTCGAGAAAGAAGGAGCACCTCGAGCCTACGAATTGAAACAAACCCTCAACGCCTTGCGGCAAGGTGGTGCGTCTGTTTCAACGTATTATACCAAGTTGAGGACTGCTTGGGATGAACTCCAAACCGTTCTTCCTAACCCTCGTTGCATGTGTGAAGGGTGCCACTGTGGGATCGGGAAACAACTCAACGAAGTAAAGGAGAAAGAGAGATCCTACGAATTTTTAATGGGGTTAGACGATGACTTTTCTGTGCTTCGAACTCAGATTTTAGCCATGAAACCGACACCATCGTTAAGCACTATTAACCATCTGGTAGCCGAAAGTGAACAACAGCGAGCCATTACAGGCAACTCCAAAAGAACCAGAGTAGAAGCTGCAGCGTTTCAAGCAGATTACAACGGACAGAGAAGCTTCAGACAGACTTCAGCAAAGATGAACTCGACACCGGTCAACAAGGTAATCAAGAAAAACCCTAAGTCAGAAAACGAAAAGTAAGAAAAGTGCTCTCACTGCCAGCGTGAAGGGCACGATAAAGAAGGATGTTTTAAACTGATAGGATATCCTGATTGGTGGCCCGGCAACAAAGAGAAAACAAAGCCCAAGGCAGCTTCTGTGGAACTAGAAACGAGCCCTGTACCCGGCTTAACTGACGAACAATACCGGCTCTTTGTCGCTCACTTTCAAGAAAATGGAAACTTGACAGGCAATAAATCTAATCCACGAGCAAACATGGCAGGTAGCAATCAATCTTATGATGGTTGGGTTGTCGACTCAGGGGCAACCGAACACATGACGTGTAGAGATGATTTTTTGGAAAACAAAAACCCAAACCCTAAAGAGACACCTGTAGTCATCCCCAATGGCGACATGGTGCCTGTTACGGGGGAGGGTGAACACACTCTAAATGGGGGTGTTAAAATTAAAGGAGTTTTGCTTGTTCCTAATTTTGATTACAATCTTCTTTCGGTAGGGAAACTCACTGATGAGTTGAATTGTGTGGTTTCTTTCTTCCCTGGTTTTGTTGTAATGCAGGAGTTGGGGACGAAGCGCTTGATTGGAGCGGGTGACCGTGTTGGAGGATTGTATCAGACGAGGTCAACGAAGCCAAGCAAAGCTCTCCTAACAACATGTAAGGTTTGGCATAGACGCCTGGGTCATCCATCCACCAAGAAGATTTCAAACTTAGATTTTATTGATGTTTCTAAAGATAATAACGGGTGTGATGCTTGTTTTAAAGCCAAACACACACACGTCTCCCTTTTCCCATTAGTGAAATAAAAACTCTTTCATGTTTTGATTTGGTGCATTGTGATGTGTGGGGGAAATATAGATACCCGTCTATGAGCAAAGCGTCTTACTTTCTTACCATTGTAGATGATTTTAGTAGGGCTGTATGGACTTTTTTAATTAAACACAAACATGAGGCAAGCACACGCCTCATGGATTTTCACAAAATGGTCAAACACAATTTGGTGTTCAAATAAAGCGTGTCAGATGTGACAACGGGGGGGGGGGGGGGGGGGGAGTTTGTATCAAATGACATGCATGATTTTTATGCACAAGAAGGAATTATGTTAGAAACATCTTGCCCGCACACCCCACAACAAAACGGGGTGGTGGAACGCAAGCATCGACATTTACTTGAAACTGCACGTGCCTTACGCTTTCAAGCTAATTCACCCACAACCTTTTGGGGGGAGTGTATATTGACAACTACATATGTCATTAATAGAATGCCCACCAAGGTTTTACATGGTGCCACGCCTTATGAGGTACTGTTCCAGCGAAAACCCTCATACGAACACATGCGGGTATTTGGGTGTTTGACTTATCATAGAAACACAGACACCAGGGGAGACAAATTTGAGAAACGGGGTAAGCCCGACATATTTGTTGGATATCCCCATGGCACTAAGGGATATAAAATATATGATTTGGAAAGTAAGAAGATAATAGTCTCTCGTGATGTATGGTTCTTAGAGAATGAATTTCCCATGAATTATGTTGAAACAAATAAACAATCACAGAATAAAGATTTATTCACATTACATAGTGATATTCCCAACCCTTCCATGCATGACGACGAGAACGGATCACATGGTGATGGGGCTGACGTAATCCATGAGGCACCTGTTGACTCTTCGGCACCTTTAGAAGATGCTGACGTCATCAACATACATGATGACGTCACCGAAGTAGAGACACAACCAATACATTTAGAACTCTCTGATGAGCACCGTGCCACTCGAACAAGAAGTCAACCAATCCGGTTTCAAGACTTCGAAGTAAACCTTCCCCCATCGATCAATCATCCACCACCCGCGTCCGATCGAGTTGCTTCTACGGTACATCCCCTAAGTCATTATGTTTCATATAAAAAAATTTCACCTTCACATAAGGCTTTTCTAGCGGCTATTGTTCTTCACAATGAGCCAAAAAGTTTTAAACAGGCTGCTAGACAACCCAAATGGCGGCTTGCAATGCAACGTGAAATAAAAGCTTTGGAAGATAATGACACATGGGAGCTCACCTTTCTTCCTGAAGGCAAACATGCCATTGATTCCAAATGGATCTTCAAGACTAAGTTCAAACCAAATGGCGATATAGAGATGTACAAAGCCCGTCTTGTTGCAAAGGGCTACACGCAAATGGAAGGAGTAGATTTTCACGATACTTTTGCACCGGTGGCTAAACTTGTTACGATTCGAATTTTATTGACTGTTGCTGTGAAAAGGAATTGGATTATTCACCAACTCGATGTGAATAATGCATTCTTGCATGGTGACTTGGAAGAAGATGTATACATGAAGATTCCCCAAGGATTTGGCAAAGAAGGAGACACGCGAGTATGCAAACTCAAAAAGTCACTGTACGGCTTAAAACAAGCAAGTCGCAATTGGCATCACAAGTTTACCACAGCTATTCGTGCACTTGGTTTCATACAATCTCATGCTGACCACTCTCTTTTCATTTACAAAAAAAACGATATTTTTGTGGCGGCTCTTATTTATGTAGACGATGTGGTCATTGTTGGTAATAATGCAGAAAAGATTGAGAGTACAAAATCTAGTCTCCATACCCAATTTAGTATCAAAGACCAAGGTAGTTTAAAATATTTTTTGGGAATCGAGGTGTCACGCATGGAAGAAGGTTTAGTTCTCAGTCAACACAAATACACCATGGATATTTTGGACGATTCAGGTATGCTGGGGTGCAGACCAAGCCGTTTTCCCATGGAACAGAACCTTAAACTCGATAAAGGTGACAATGAAAACCGGGTCGATGCAAATATGTACAGGCGTCTCGTTGGTCGTCTTTTGTATTTACAAGCCACTCGCCCCGATATAACATATTCGGTTAATATTTTGAGTCAATTCGTCTCCGATCCTAAACATCCACACTGGGATGCAACTTTACGTGTTTTACGTTATTTGAAGACCACAATCGGACAAGGTATCTTGCTTCCAAAAGATGGGTCTACTAATCTAGTAGCTTATAGTGATTCCGATTGGTTGGGATGTCCCTATTCGCGCCGTTCTCGAACATGATACTTACTTCTCCTTGGAGGAGCTCCCGTTTCTTGGAAATCCAAGAAACAATCGGTGGTTTCGAGGTCTTCCGCTGAGGCTGAATATCGTGCAATGGCAACGACAGTGAGTGAGATTCTTTGGGTTCGTTGGCTACTCACTGATTTAGGTGTTGTCATTAACTCGCCTACCACTCTCATGTGTGACAATGAATCTGCAAAACACATAGCACACAATCCAGTTTTCCATGAACGCACGAAACACGTGGAAATGGATTGCTACTTTGTTCGGGAAAGGGTGGAATCAAAAGAGATCGCTCCTATATGGGTTCACACCAAAGATCAACTGGCGGACTTACTCACTAAACCACTTGGCACGGAACGGCTGCAATCTCTCATGGTCAAGTTGAACATTCGTAATCTTCATGCTTCAACTTGAGGGGGAGTAAAGGAATTGTTATTATTATGCCTCGTTTATTTATCTTATTCTAGATAGACTTCTTATCCGATAGGTTAGGCTAGTTTGTTATTTTCTTGTGACTATTTATCCAACTATTCTGATGTAACCAGGGACGATTCAATCAATGAAACAAGAACTGATTCTCAGTATAATCTAATTTCATACATGCTAATGTTATTTATTTGCTAAATGAATGCCTTAGGGTTGTACATAATTATGATTGCATAGCTTGAGAATGCTTGATTTAACCTTACTTCAAGTTCTTTGTTTGGTTGTAGGCTTATGGTAAAATCACTTATTCGACCGTTTATTTGATCTTTTATTACATATGACTCACATTCAAGCGCAAAACGGATAGTTCCATGCCAAAGAGAGTAATATGCGTAAGATGGACACTGAGCGTCATGAATTGAAGGTTAGTTGCCGCACCACCGAAAACCAAGAAGAGAATTGCAGAAGTTGTGGAATGATTGTTTTCGGTAGAAATAGCATAGGATCGTAGGTTCTCTAATATAATATAAGAGCTTTAATGGTTTTGAAGAAAAAAATTAAAATTCTGGTTACAAGTGTATAATCTTTATACAGTGAATTTACAACAATTTTCCTAAACTATCTCAACAAGTTACAACTAAGTACAACAAAATCTCCTATGAAAAGTATACAATATATTTTGAAGATAAGTATAAAGAACTTAGTAACTTACATCGTATCTTCTAAATAAGCACAAACTACCTATTCTAGTTCTTAATAAAGATCAAAAACTCATCAATGCATTAATATGATATATGCTAAAAGTCGGTTTTGTTTTTAGCTGTTTCTTAATTCAATGAACATCTCCGGATTGGATAAACTTGTGATTCTAGAAATGCTAGAATAAATGACATCCTCCTTAGTTTACACCAACAAACCAAAATTGTTGATTTGAAATAACAATTTTGTACATAGACAAATGAATCTCTTCGGCTTAAAATCTGATAAAACATATTGAAAAGAATAAGACTTTTGTCCTCCGAACTTTACATTAGTTAAAACATAGCTCACTATACAATATGCATATACTATACATGTATAATACTTGAACTCAAAACCTAAAAACATATGAACTGTTTGAAGTGGCATAAGCATAAACTCGATGTAGTTTGAGACATAGTTGTCATTATTGATATGTTGAAGGGGTTGAGTGAAAATTGAGAAAAGAAAGTTAGAATGGCTTTTCCTTTTGGCTTTCTTTTGTTGTTCCGTACCCCAATTCTGTGATGGTGATGGTAGCATTTTCTTTTTCTCTCTCTTTCTCTGTCTATATATACACATATTTTATGTATATTATTCTCTTTTATTTGCTTTTAGTATTAGTATTATTTGCCCATCTCTTTGATTGTTTCGTTTCTTGACTTTGTAGAAACAATAACCGAGGGAGGTCCCACCCGCAATCACCACCATCACCACCGTCCACCGCCTACCGCCGGGGTCCACCGAATCATCATCAACTCACACTACTTACACACAAAGATCCGTATAATATACCACCACCACCACCACCTCTTTTTATATTAAAAAAATAAAACTTTTTTTTATTTGTGGGTTCTTTTTCTTTTTTCCTTTTCTCTCTTATTTGTATTCACATTTGAATAGGAACACCCAGAAAAATCTTGTTTATGTTCTTGAATTTCTGTGTGTGTCTCTCTCTATCTTTTATCTCCCACCTGGAAAACATTCTTTCTTGGTGAGAGAAGAAGACGGCAGAGATGAGTTTTTGATTTGATTTAATTAAATCACCCAGAAAAAAAAAATAGATTTTTTTTGGTGTTTTTAGGTCACAGATTCTCTTGAAGACATCGAATTATATACCCTTTTGGTAAGATTGTGATTTGATAGTTTGTTTTTGTAATTTTTTAGAAATTTTGTGGCTAATAATTGTCTCTAACCCCTGCAATCATATGACTGTTTCTCGATTCAATTTTTAATTCAAACGACTCGTACTCTTTAATATATTAATTGATTGGATTGTTTGTTTATTTATTGTTTTGTGGGATGTTTCAGGCTTTGAAGGAAGGTGGCGTTTGACTTTTCATTTCAAAAGTCTTTATCTTTGTGTTGAATTTACGATGGCTTGATTTGATTCATCAAGATCTATACCTCAATTGATCGAAGGTACAACCCACCCTGCTTTTGATCGTCTTCTTGAAGCTTTCAAGTTTACCATTTTCAACATTTCTTGAACAAATATCGTGTAATCGTGAACATGGGCGTGGTTTGATTTGGGTATTATCGGAATAAAAGAAAGATTGTCGAATTTTAGGGAGCAAAAATGAACGACGAGGCTAATTCTTGGATCAGAAGAACAAAATTCTCTCACACAGTATGTCATCGATTAGATTCTGCAAGATTAGCCTCATTTCTATCCGATGGTCAACCAATTCGAATCGCGGGTATAAAAACCCGACCCCCAAAAACTCTCGAAGACCCAAAACCCGCCGAAATCCAAGCAAATCCGGTCACAAACAAGTACAGAACCGTAACTCCGCCACCCAAAACCACCGTCCCCGACACCTTCAAAGAAGCAAGGTCAAACACAAAAAGATTCTCAACCCCACATCCACAAAGGGTAGAAACGGAAAAAGGGTTTAAAGAAAAAAAGATGTTTCACAGAAACATGACTGCTGTTAACGTTAGGGCTCATGAGAATCTTTCTAGTCCTCTTAAACATTTCAATTCGATGAAGATTCAAGATAAAAAGAAGATGAAAAGGGATTATTCTTGGTCAAAGCTGTTTGACCATGGTGGAGGGAAGGTTACTTCTGTCGAAACAATTGATGATGTTATGGTTGACCTTTCAAAGCTTTTTCTTGGCCATAGATTTGCTCATGGTGCAAATAGTCAACTTTACCATGGAATTTATAAAGATGAAGCTGTTGCTGTTAAGATTATTAGGCTTCCTGATGATGACGAAAATGAAGAACTTGGAGTTAGACTTGAGAACCAATTTATCCGAGAAGTTAATCTTTTGTCGCGACTCCACCATCAAAATGTCATTAAGGTATAATTATCTTCGAATCTTTCGTATTTTGTATGTTTTTCTATATTGATTATTATGATTTTGAATTCGTAACTATCATTTTAAGTTTCTTTTACATAGTCGAAAAAGTTTAATCACTTTAGAAAATTGTTAAGCTGCTAAATCTATATTGTATGATTACTAATTCGATAAAAACAATAGTTTAATGGCAAAATCGGTAAAATGGGGAAAGTAAAATATAGGTAAGTAGCTAAATCGATAAAAAGATGGAAGTACAAATGCTATTATGTATCTTCCTTCCCCTCTTAAAATAACCTACCTATCTCTTAACTTTAAACAACTTTAGTTTAAAACAATCATTTGTACCAATCATTATTAGGTAAATTATTAAATGTTTAACTAATTTTCTTTAAACTTTTTATGGTGCTAGTTTGTAGCGGCGTGTAGACAACCACCGGTTTTCTGTATCATAACCGAGTATCTTTCAGAAGGTTCTTTAAGGGCATACCTACATAAACTCGAGGACAATACCGGAAAAGAAAAAGAGTATCTTCCGTTAGAAAAGCTTATTAAAATGTCTTTAGACATTGCACGTGGAATGGAGTATATTCATTCACAAGGCGTGATTCATAGGGATCTTAAACCTGAGAATATATTAATAAATCAAGATTTCAATCTGAAAATTGCGGATTTTGGGATCGGTTGTGAAGAAGCGTATTGTGATTTTCTGGCGGATGATCCGGGGACGTATAGGTGGATGGCACCCGAAATGATTAAAAGAAAGGCGTATGGGAGGAAGGTTGATGTGTATGGATTTGGGCTTATTTTGTGGGAGATGGTGGCTGGAACTATACCTTATAAAGATATGACTCCTATCCAAGCTGCATTTGCTGTTGTTCATAAGGTATCTCTATCTTTATCTATATCTATCTTGTAATTGTTCTTTTTGAGTTTCTTGCTATTTTTGGCACGTCATCATAGCTAGCTGATAATCTATATTATTTTTCGAGTTTTTTTAAGTTTTCATGTTTGGCAAGCCAAAAAGTAGCTTATAAACTAACTTTTTGAAAAGCTACTTTGACTAGCATTTTTAAAATATTCCAAAAACACCCTTAATAATTATAGAAAACTCATTATCCTAAATGTCCTTTTTATGTCATTTTATGTATTTTAGCTAGTTTTTACCAAACGTCTTTTCAGCTATCGGCTAGTACGCCAAGCATAGTTTAAGTCTTTTAACATTTAAAAAAAATTCCCTCGTTTGTTTTTGGGCTAAATGCAAGAAATAGTATACTTTCATTTATTTGTGTATTATAGCATCGTACTTTCATTTATTTCTATTACAACATTATACTTTCATTCTTTTCTCATTATAAAAATTTACCCATTATAGCAATGAAAGCGGCTTTATATTCAGATGGAGTTTGCTATAATTCGGTAGATTTTTCAAAGTAAAAAAGTAAATCGCCATAACAAACAAAACCACGAAAGTACATTGCAAGAAACCCACTTACGAAATTCCTTTTTTGCCCTTTTTCAGAATCTCCGGCCAACTATTCCGGCAGACTGTGCTCCGGCAATGAAAGCATTAATAGAGCAATGTTGGTCTACACAACCAGAAAAAAGGCCAGAGTTTTGGCAAGTGGTGAAGGTGTTAGAAGAGTTTGAATCTTTAATAGCACGTGATGGAAACTTGAAACTTTTACAACATCCAACATGTTTAGATAATAAAAAGGGACTTCGCCATTGGATTCAGAAGCTTGGGCCTCATCATCAACATCAACATAACTCTCCTATGCCTAAACCGAGGTTTTCATGAAAACTTTGTGAGTTTATATTTTTATCTGGAGATGTTTTTGGTTGACCGGGTAATGATGTAATTAAAGAAAGTGTTTGTTTTTGAATTATGTTTGGATTTTGTTTATGTGAATGGTTAGGGTTTTATCGATACATTGTTGTTAAAGATTGGTTTCAGACACATATTGGTCATGTTTTGATGGTGAATATGATTTCGAATTGTGTTTGAAGAAGTGGGTTGTGATATACTCGTATTTGTTAGTTGTTAAATTATCAAATTTGTAAAAATATATTTTCGTAGGGCCGTGCAGAAAAAGTGAAATGGAGTAAATTACTGAAATAATTGAGATATTGTGACTAGAAAACCAATGACTATGGGTATGTTTGCAAAAATTGATGGTAGCCGAAAAATATAGTTTTTTTTTATTGGTATAGTATGTGGAAATTTTTGATAAGTATATAATTACATAAGTGAACATCTCAATAAAAGCTCCAAATTTAAACGTAAAACCTAAAGATCTCGAAAGTTATTTGAAGTAGTTTTTTGATTAAGAGCTTTTCGAAAAAATTGAAATGTAGTAAAAAGCCGAAATAATTGAGAATTATGACTAGAAAACTGATGATTAGGGTTATATTTTTCCAAAAGTAGATGATAGCCGGAAGTTGTAACTTTTATTGATGTAGACATGTTTCGAAAACGATGTTTGGAAAACAGGTTGCATCCTTCTAAATTATATATAAAACATCTTGATAAAAACTCTAGATTTAAACAAAAAAGCTAAAGATCTCAAAAACTATTTGAAGTAGTTTTTGGATTATGCGTTTTTTGTTTCTAAAAATAAAAGTTTTAAACTTGTATTCCTTAATAATGTTTTATTCTTTAAATTCATTTTCTTTAAATGAAAACTCTCAAAAGCTCGTTGAAAAACATGTTCTAAGATATCAATCATTGTAGTATGATTTTTAGTGGCTTTAGGCCGAAGGGAATGGTTGGATACTACCCCTTGGTGTATTGTCTGACTCATTGCGGAAAACACCGCCACTTGCCTCAACATGCCGAGAAAAATGGCCTAAATGGACAAGAAACTGTCGATTCTCTCTCCTTGCAAAGTTTTGGGTTTGATGTTTGCTTGAGGTGGATTGTCAGAAAATGAAGTGAAGGAGGAGGTGGCTTCGGTACTCCTCATGGCCTTAGTATATTACTAGTTTTTCTTAATAGCAAATATGTATCTAATATGTATTGTACTTTTTGTAAACGTCTGTATTGATGTAGTCAAAAGGTCAATAGTCATAGCATATAATCAGGAGTGTATAAACAACTCTTATACTTGTATTTAAACAATGGTTTGCTGTAAATCAAAATCATCGATTGAGATCTCATCCCCTTTATGGTATCAGAGCTAAGGCTCAATCTGCACAAAGTTTTCTTTTTTCTGATCTTTTCATGGCTACCGGAACTGCCAATCTTCTCCATTTGGCTACCACCACATCCTCTACTCTCAATTTCCAGATTCCCCCAATTACTACTAAATTGGATCACAAAAACTTTGCCTTATGGTGCACCAATATAATCTCAACACTAGAGACGTTTGATTTGGAGGATTTTGTGTTAAACCCTAAACCTCCGTCCGAGACAGTTGACGTTCCCGCTGTTGAAGCGATACCAGCCACTGCTACCGCTCCTGCTGTTGTTGCGGTTCATGCTACTACCATTCCAAATTCGGAGTATACCACCTGGAAGAAACGTGACAAGTTTGTTTTACTCTGGCTCAAATCCACATTTACTGATCATGCGTCTGCTCTTGTTGCTCGCTCTACCTCATCTCGTGCAGCCTGGCAGACAATTGAAAAATTGTTTCAAGCTCAAACTAGGGCATGTCGAATGCAATTGAAGGTTCAATTTCAAACTCTTGCAAAAGGTTCTATGACCATGCTTGAGTACATAGAGCGAAAATGCTCCATCTCTGATGCTTTGGCTAAAAATCTTCATCCTGTTGATGATGAAGATCTTATTGGATACATTCTGAGTGGCTTAGATTCATCTTATGGGAGTTTCATTACCGCATTTATGTTGAAATCGGAAGTTCTAACTATTGATGATCTTGTAGGGTACCTATTACATGAAGAAGCGAGACTTGAGCAAGAACACCTGCGTCTTGCTTCAGTCAATTCCTCCCCCACTGTTGCTGCTCTAAATGTTAACTGATTTACCCACAAAACTCAATCTCAAAATGGACAGGTCTCCAACTCTTCTCGAAACTCAGATCCTAGAAAGAAGTGTGTTATGTGTCAATTGTGTGCCAAGCCTGGTCATGAAGCCATTGACTGTTGGCAGCGAGGCAATCTCACAGATTATCCCTACAGAAAACCAAATCCAAAAGGCAAACCTCGCCAAGTTCACTTGACTCAGCAAAGTCAATCTACAGTATTTGATCCGGCTTGGTATGTAGACAGTGGAGCAACTAATCATGTCACACCAGACCTCAACAAACTCAACATTGCTGATTCCTACACTGGAGGTGACAAAATCCAAGTAGGCAATGGTAATAACTTGACTATCTCTCATATTGGATCTTCATCTCTACCCCATCTTAAATTAACTAATGTTCTTCATGTTCCTGATCTCACAAAATCCCTTCTTAGTGTCTCAAAACTCATTGATGATAATCCTGTTTTTGTTGAATTTTGGCCTAAAACCTGTTCTGTTAAGACGTTTCAGGGTCAAACTCTAATCCAAGGGGATAAAAAGGAGGGGCTCTATCGGTTTAATCCTAATGAAACACCCGGAATCCAGGAGGCCAAGTTGGGGAAGGATAAACCCTAAGTCAATGAGTCAACTCGTCGAGTCCAAGGAAGAACTCGACGAGTCGGAGCGAGTTCCGTGTTGCAGATTAAGTATCCGACTCGGCGAGTCGGGGGACTGACTCGGCGAGTCTGGTCTGGGTTGGGAAACCCTAATTTCGGGACTTGGTGCCCTATTTAAGCATCATATTCTCATTCCCCCAGCCTCATCTTCAGCCCCCAGACCCCAAACCCTCACCCATGAAACCCTAGTTCATCTTGTGAGTGTTTGAGCCACCTTGGTGTGATTTGTGTGCTCTTGAAGAGGAAGAGGAAGAAGAAGGAAGTTGGAGGTTCAAGAAGGAGGATGTAGATCCAGAAGACACACTCTATTTGCTGCATTTCTTGGTAATCAAGTCTTCATCTTGGCTTTTGGTTTATTAGATCTCCTTATAGTCCCTTTTTGGAAGGTTTTTGGTCCAAGAATGGTTGTCTTTGGGTTTTGGACGTCCCCCAAGCATGATCCTTTCAGATCTGGAAGTAATTGGGGTGGTTAAGGCATAAAGGTGCAAGCTTTATGCCATTAGGAAGTCCCATGCAAGCTTAAAGAGATTATTATGGCCTTTTGGAGCCCTAAAGGCCATGCAAGGAAGTAAAGCCCAGAACTTTACGTGGTTATTGGATGTCTAGAGTCCAGATCTTGTTTTCCCTGCCTTGGTTTGGTGTAATAAGGGTTTTGGACCATGGACTTATGTCTTAATGAGCTAGGGTTTTGTCTAAACCCATTAAGAAGGACTTGGGATGGGTAAAGCTGGAAACTTTACCTGTTGGAACATGAAAGTGAACCACTAGCAATCCTAAGTACTAATTCCGAAGGGTATGTTCCGAAGAGGAGAGTGGTCCGGAATCCGTCCGGACCAAGTAAGAAGATGTGAAGACTGAAGACATTCCGGAACTGACTCTCATGTCCGGAATGATGCTGATCCGGAATGACGTTGTTTTGTCTTTTGTACATTTATTTTATATGTATTTGTATTGATGTAACGTTTCATAGGACTAAGTCTATAGTTGTATTTGGACATTCAGAATTTCAGTATCATGTCTTTTGTCCGGTCCTATGTAATCACTTCAGTTAATTCGGTGTAATATTCTCTCCTATAAATAGGAGTATTCAATACAAGTCAACTACGGATCTGTCACTCACTTTTGTTATTCTCTTTAAGTTTACTTCAAACATTCTTCTTGTTCTTCATTTTTAGCTTTACTTTGATCAGTTATTCTCGTTGCTTATGAAATGACTTGATCATTTGTTGAAAACATTATCTAAGACTTGACTGGTCTTTCCAGACTTGACTTGAACATTTATTAGCAAGCAGACATTGATCTTAAGCATTCACTCAAGGTTTGAGTTCTCAAATCTTGTCCCTGCGCATAAGTAAGATCTTGTTCTCACAATTGGTATCAGAGCTTGAGTGGTTGTCCTTTGATTCCATAAAGATCAGATTATAGTTGGTTTGAAATTACCTTGGTGTTTCAACCATTTCTGTGTCAAGGATAAAAAGTTCTTCTATGTACCACTTTAGCTTGAAGATATCTTAACTTCAATGGCTGCTTCTAATTCTCAACGAATGATTTCAATGCAAATCGCAAATAGTGTGGGTGGCCCTACTCGTGCCCCATTACTAGTTGTGGAAGAATATGATCACTGGAAAGTTAGAATGGAAAGATTTCTAATTGCCAAAGAAAAAGGTGAAGAAATATGGAGATCCGTCACTGAAGGTCCACATGTTCCTGTAAGAACAATTGTAAGAGATGCAGCTGCTCAGCTCATGAGAGAAGATGAAACTCGCCCTGCTCCTCTGACTACAGATGATATCGAAAAGCTTCATGCTGACCAAGTTGCTTTCTCTGAAATGGTGTTTGGTGTTCCTCCTTCACTCTTCGAGCACATCAAGTTGTGCAAATCTGCCAAAGAGATTTGGGACACTCTTCAGGACCTAATTGAAGGTTCCGAAAACATGAAGGACAAGCGCCTCACCTCAGTTGTCAACGACTTCGACACCTTCACTACCACTCCAGATGAATCTGTGGCCTCAACTTCTAGCCGTTACCGAATCGTTGTCAACAACATGACTGCTCATGGGATTGTCCGAACTCCTTTGGAGTACAATCTCAAATTTATAAACAGTCTCGGCAAATGATGGGGAAATGTGAAATCTTGTCTCCAAAGCAATGGTTCCTTGAAAAAGTTGAAGCTCTATCAACTTTTTGATGAACTTCAAGGACATGAGTCAAATGTTGCTCAAAAACTAAGGGAACTCTCCGGAGGTCCTCTTGCCCTTGTAGTTCCTTTGAACCAACCATTCCGAACTCATCTACTTCGGATCCCTTCAAACCCATTA